TGATTTTAAAGCTTATGGTAAAATTGAGAACTTCCCCAAGCGACACTTACTCCAAATGTGTGCATGCCTTCTTCCATTAGGTTCCCGTTTTCTTTTCAATATGTCTTAAGGTGTTCTTTCTGTATGTTGGCATTTCATCCAAGATGGTATCCGTTATTCTGTAGAACATGTGGGTGGAGACCATGGGATTTCATTTTTTATGACTTGTTTAAATTAAAAGTCAGCTCATGAGTATGAGGATGTACTTTGTTGTGGCAGGATGGCTTGGAGGTTCACGTGCCTTTGTTTGACTTCTCGTAGACAGCATTTTTCATGGGACTGAAGAAGCCTTGTATTGCAACTCTCACAACAGCCTGGACTTAAATTATTTAAATGGCACCGTCACCAATGGCAGCGTGTGTAGCGTTCATAGCGTCAACTCCCTCAACTGCTCGCAAAGTTTCATCCAGGCCTCCCCTGTATCCTCCAACCTCAGTATCCCTGGGAGTGACATCATGCGGGCCGACTACATCCCGAGCCACCGGCATAGTGCGATCATCGTGCCCTCGTACAGGCCAACCCCCGATTACGAGACAGTCATGCGCCAGATGAAGAGGGGGATACTGCATACAGACAGCCAGAGCCAGTCTCTGAGAAACCTCAACATCATCAACACCCATGCCTATAACCAGCCAGAGGATCTGGTGTACAGCCAACCAGAGATGCGGGAGAGGCACCCCTACACTGTCCCTTATGGGCCACAGGGGGTCTATAGCAACAAACTTGTCAGTCCATCTGACCAGAGGAACCCAAAGAATAATGTGGTACCAAGCAAGCCGGGGGCAAGCGCCATCTCGCACACGGTGAGCACCCCAGAGCTGGCCAACATGCAGCTGCAGGGCAACCATAACTACAGCACGGCCCACATGCTCAAGAACTATCTCTTCAGGCCACCGCCCCCCTACCCACGGCCACGACCTGCCACCAGCACCCCAGACCTGGCCAGCCACCGCCACAAGTACGTCAGTGGCAGCAGCCCAGACCTGGTGACCCGGAAGGTGCAGCTCTCGGTAAAGACCTTCCAAGAGGACAGCTCTCCGGTGGTGCATCAGTCTCTCCAGGAGGTGAGTGAGCCTCTTACGGCCACCAAGCACCATGGCACGGTGAACAAGCGCCACAGCCTGGAGGTGATGAACAGCATGGTGCGGGGCATGGAGGCCATGACGCTCAAGTCACTCCACCTCCCCATGGCTCGCCGCAACACGCTCCGGGAGCAGGGACCACCCGAGGAGGGGCCAGGCAGCCACGAGGTCCCCCAGCTCCCTCAGTATCACCACAAGAAGACCTTCTCTGATGCCACCATGCTGATCCACAGCAGCGAGAGTGAGGAGGAGGAGGAGGAGGCTCCAGAATCGGTGCCCCAGATCCCCGTGCTCCGGGAGAAGATGGAGTACAGCGCCCAGCTGCAGGCGGCCCTGGCCCGCATCCCCAACAAGCCCCCGCCTGAGTACCCCGGCCCAAGGAAGAGTGTGAGCAATGGGGCTCTGAGGCAGGACCAACCCGGCCTTCCTCCCGGCATGGCTAGAGCCAGGGTGCTGAGGCACGGGCCGGCCAAGGCCATCAGCGTGTCCCGGACCGACCCGCCGGCTGTCAACGGGGCCTCTCTCGGCCCATCCATCTCGGAACCCGACCTGACAAGCGTGAAGGAGCGGGTCAAAAAAGAGCCCGTGAAGGAGAGACCTGTGTCTGAAATGTTTTCCCTGGAGGACAGCATTATAGAGAGAGAGATGATGATCAGGGTGAGTGTCCTCCTCTCCGGGGGCATTTCCCAGTGTGAAAGCACATGCTTCAGGCACTGAGCAAGGGGCAAACCTTATGCAGGGAATGTGGTAGGTTTTTAAGCAGTCACTGAGCATTTAAACAGGTAGTATTTTATTACACAAAATGTTGGGTTTTGTCCTTTCAAATAAATCTTCATTCTCTTTCGTGGCTTCTAACAGGTGTACTTGGTACGTTGTTGAGGCCAATGGCCTCAGCTAGGATTTTGCTGTTTATTCAAGGCTCAAACTTCCAATTGTGTGAGCTGCTATTATGGAAGCTCACCTTTCTGTGTCTTTCAGTGTTTTGTTTTCTTGAAGGAAAGCTGTCCGGCACCTCCATTTAGATATTAAAAGCAACATCCCTATACCGCCTTCTGTATAGATCCATAAGTCCAGACTCGCCAATATTGTCTTGATTGTGATATGTTAGCTTTATATTCAGATTTTCTTTCAATAGATGTTTCGCACAGATTCAAGAAAATTATAGCAATTAGATATATAACTCAGTAATTGGATAAATAATTATCCATTGAACTTATTCTATCAAAAATTCACCCACATGTATGTGAATACATACATACATATATATACATACATATTACCACTTGAAGATCCATCCTAGTATTAGACATGAAGAGCTCTTCTTCATAATATGTACAGAGCCACGTATGGTGGGGGATACCTGTAGTCCCAGCTACTTGGGAGGCAGAGGTAGGAAGGTCACTTGAAGCCAGGAGTATGAAGCCAGCCTGGACAATATAATGAGATCTCATCTCTACAGAAAAAAAAAGGAACCATGGGTATGATGGCAGGAGCCTGTAGTCCTAGCTAATCAGGAGGCTGAGGTGGGAGGATTGCTTGAGCCCAGGAGTTCAAGGCTTCAGTGACCTGTGATTGTGCCACTGCACTCCA